TGTGCCTTTCCTTTCTTAATCAATTTATGGGATTATTATCTGTAATTTCTAAAAGAGGCTCTTTCTAGTCACAGCCTCCTTTTTGAAGCTCTGCAACAGATTTGATTCTTTATTGTTAATATTGAATAATGTAGAGATGCAATCATTTATAGAAAATTGTGAAACTGCTGAGGCAATTTCACAGATACCTTATAATGTAAAGGATTTAACTGTAATTTTGGAAAACAAATCTGACACCAATCTTTATTATATAATGATTTAAATACAACTTTCTGAGCATAACTGAAAGAAGCGATCCAAGGAAATCTTTAACTCTCAAGAGAACAAGTTTGGGAATTTTTCTTCATGGATATTAAGAAGGTTGAGAATTTCTTGAGAAAAAGAGACTTGATAGACATACCAGGGATGAAAAATATTTTATTCTATGAGATAAACTGGGAGAAGTGTCTTAAGCTTAATGAGTTAATTAGAGTTTGGAAGGATTTTTACAAGTCTGATTTAGATAATTGAATGACATCTCTAATGTACAGTAGTTTTCTGTTTATAAAATAGGTATGCAAATATATATAATATAATATATATATTACATATTATATAATTCTCTAGTAATTCCTAAAGATTGTAAATATTATTGAAAGTAAATTTGAATGCTGGAATGTTAGGAGGAATTAAAAAAAAGATGTAGTAGAATTTACTGATTTTAGAAATACTTTTAAAGTAAAAATTTAAAATGGATGTAAAAAAAAAGGATTTCCCCCTTTGGTAAGAGAACTTGGGACAATGTTGTAATTGTGTTAATATAAATGATGATAGTTTGGGAAGATTAATAAGTGCAAACAGAAATATATATTATTTCCTAAAGGAAAAAGAAAGAAGAGGTAAAAAAAAATAATTGTTTTATTCAAAAAAAGGAACATCTTTAATTTTGTTCCCATTTGGAAATCACTTCAGGATTTTGTGCTTGTGATGGAAAAAATGAAACTTTGATTTTAATTTTACTGATTAGATAGGTTTGTTTTTATAAAAATGGCTAGTATTTATTATTGAATAAAAGCAAAAGTTGAAGTTGTAATGTTCTTATCCTCTACTGTGCTAAAAAGAGTCAGTAGTCAATACCTTTTTTTCTTTTTCCCCTTCTATCACACAGTTTTTCCTTTTCCCATTTCCCTCCCTTAGTTTCCCATTATTTTCATTTTGTTTGTATTTTATATTCTGATGAACTAATAACAAATTTAAATGAGGTGAAATACTCTATAGATGGATAACAATGCCAAATCCAGTGTAAACATCTGGCTGACTGACTGAATTTACTGGCAACTAGTGGAAAGAACCTAAAACTTTGACAGTTTGAAGAAAGCTGAGAGTTTGAGATTGTTAATTGTTTCACCAAAGAAAAGACTTTGTCTCTGGTAGCATTAATTATATTATTGAAATGTGGGTACATATGAGTTCTTTCTTGGGAATAAAGGTTTAGACATGAAGGTTTAGATATCAGTTGGGAAGGCAAATATCTGGGCATGGAACTGTATTTCTCTCATTAACTGAGAATAAATTTCCTTGCACAAAAAATTTGGAAATTCTAAAGAATGAGATTATGCAACATTAAACAAGCCAATACTTCTGTTTTTGCACATCTTTGATAGAGATGCAGTGTAATGTAATTGGATACTAAAACTAGTGCTATCTAAGGACTAAAGGAAAGGCTACAAGTGCCAAAAGAGTGTATATGAAATTGAGTCTTTCAGTCGATGTTATGGTACCTGAGTGAATTCATGATGCCATTGAATTTTGTCTGGTTGTATGCGGAAGGTTTCTTCTGGAGGAGCTCGCAGATCGATCTCTCCAACTGGGACGTAAATATATGAGTTGTCTGGGAAAGTATTCAAATTTATAATGTCAAAACCAGCCTCTAAGATTCCTTCTTGATTTAATTTAATTTCATCTCCAGCATTGTTGTTGAAGGAAATTCTCTGCAGAAATGAATGGAGCTTGCAGAAGGAAAAAGGATGATCTTTAAAGGGACACATATACATTTCCTAAGTCCTGGCACTCTGTTGTAACCATAGAGAATCTTTTAAAAGAGAACTGAGAAAGAGGAAATCTAACCTGCCAGGCTTCTACACTCTTCGATCGCACTTGATCCCTGTCCTTTTGTCTGTTCTGGTATGTCCTAACTGTATGAGCAGCTTGTAAGGCTTGAGCCATAGCATAGACAACATTGTAGATACTGTAACTATGGCTAAGCATGTTTATTTCAAAGAAGGGTGCAAGAAGGTTCTCCATTCTTTCTTTTCCAGTGCACTCCCCATCTTCAGGAGCATCTTTATTTGGTATTGAAGCTTGGTTCCAAAAAATCTCTGATGAAGCCATCTTGATTTGGCCCAGAAGGGGTGACAGACTGTATAAATTATTGGAAACCTGGAAGTTGTTTTTTGGTAATTGAGAAGGAAATGGCCTCATGGAACATTGTATATTTATTTATTTATTAAAATTTATAGACCACCCTACTCCTGCAGGACTCCGGGCGGTTAACAATAAAAACACAGCATTACATAACAAAACAAACAATACAATAACATTCATCCAGGGGTCAGATTTTATAAACCCCAGGCCTGCTGGAAAAGCCAGGTCTTAAGCAGCTTGCGGAAAACCAACAGGGTGGGAGCGGTCCTAATCTCCGGGGGGAGCTGATTCCAAGACGTGGGCGCCATCACAGAGAAAGCCCTCCCCCGCAGCCCCGCCAAATGGCACTGCTTGGCCGACGGGACCTGAAGGAGGCCCAGCCTGTGGGATCTAACCGGACGAAGGGAACTATGAGGTAGTAGGCGGTCTCGCAAAGGTATATCAAGATCCCTTTGGAAGGTAACTAATGTGAAATCATTCTGTGCCATCATGATCCACACTTTTCGTGTATTGAGTTTTTGTGAAGTATCAAAAGTTATGGGGGCGGGCAAAAATAATGAGAGTGGGACAATCCCTCAGATACCCATAGCCTATACTGTGGAGGGTTGTATAAGTGAGCACCAATATTTGAATTGCAGTCAGAGGCTCCCAGTTCGCCAGTATAATTGGTATAGCTAGATAACAACTGTTAGAAGAATGTTTCCCTTAGTTTGTTTCTAGTTCAGATTAAAATGCCAGATGCTGTAATTCAGAGTTCAAAAGTTTTATTTATCACACACGGCAAAAGCATTGAGTTTTGAGTGTATTCAGCCTCTTTGCAAAGGGTGCAAAGCCATTTTAAGTCAGGTGTGATGCTTAGCAGAATATCAGAATGACTGAATAACAGAGTTGGAAGGGAACTTGGAGGTCTTTTAGTCCAACCCCCTTTTCAAGGAGGAAATCCTATACCATTTCAGACAAATGATTGTCCAATCTCTTCTTAAAAGCCTCCAGTGTTGGAGCACTCACAATTTCTGGAGGCAAGTCATTCCACTGATTTATTATTCTGTCAGGAAATTTCTCCTTCATTCTAGGTTGGTCCTCTCCTTGATTAGTAACCATTCATTGCTTCCTGTTCTCCCTTCAGGTACTTTGGAGAATAGGTCAACCTCCCCTCTTCTTTATGACAGCCCTTTAGCTGTTTTCCAATATCTTAGGGGTTGCCACAAAGAAGAGGGGGTTCAACTTATTCTCCAAAGCACCTGAAGGCAGAACATGAAGCAATAGATGGACACCAATCAAGGAGAGACCCAATTTGAAACTAAAAAGAAATTTCCTGGCAGTGAGAATAATTAATCAGTGGAACAATTAAACAGTGTAATTAATCAGTGGACTATGTCTAGGTCTTGAATTTTCAAGTTTTACTTTCCTAATAAGGACTAGCTTAATTTCTTTTGTTCTAATTGGCATATTTTATCTCTTATTGCTATGAGAGTAGCATTTGTCTTGCATTCCTTTTTAAACTATGTACACAATTCTCTTGTTTCTAAAATGACATTAGTTTAGCTGTTGGACTAATTTCTAATACTGTTCACTTCTTATTTATGTTATGTGATAGTCTTGCTTCTGTGCAAAGCACAAACCTCCCTTCTAAAATGGCACCACTCCTGCCTCTCCAGCAACTGCCTCCCCAGCAACACCACTCATCATGATATAGTTGCAATGAAGCAGAAAAATTAACATTATCCACCTCCTAAAGAAGCACCAGCATTTGTTGTGAAAAATTCAAATTTATACATACTTTATTTGTAGATGACTAAGCTGAACTCAAGGGCAAGGTCAAACATCTCATCAGTTTGGAGTCATTAAACCCTCATTAGAGACCAAATTCCATCTTTCCCTCTTGAAGTCCATTGACTCTTCTCTGTGCCAATTTGCCTTGACCATTAGTAGATCAGATTCTTGTAGCATGAAATAAACTCAATTTTTTAAAACTCTGTTCTGGCTTCTGATTTCCTGTGCCTGAGATTATTAGCTATATGGATAATCTATTTTCTAATATATTTACTCTTTGGTATTAATTGAGTTTGGACAGAAATATTCAACTCTTTTGACTTTTGAAGACAACAAAGTCCACATTTTGGATAGTGAGGATCACTGGTCTGAAAGAGAGATAAAAGGCCATTTATGTTAACATTGAGCATCACTCTCTCAACAGAGGGGGAGGGATAAGACACCACCTATCTTCAGTATATAACACAGTTATTGCAGCACTGCCAAGATTCCACAACCAATTGCACTCTGATTCGGGTGACTCTGAGGGCACAGATAAACTCCCAAGAGGCCTCAAGAGCTCTCACAGAGAGTGCTAACAACTAGAGGACAGCAAACAAATACAATCCTTCCATATTCCCTCCCACCATCTTATCAGAATTATCCTTCCATCACTCCACCATCCAGTCTCAACTGTCAATACCTATCTTTCCATCCTCTCCCATCATCACAACCGGTGAAGTTTCTTGCATGAGAAATGAAATGTGTTGTTCTTCTTCTTCATGGAAAAACAGTCCAGTTGTCTTTTGAAAAAGCACATTTGAGGTTCAATCTTATTTTTTTTTCTATTTCTTATGTATTAAATGCTCTCTAGTGTTGAGTTCAGGCTTCCATACAATTATATAGATTTTGGGCATGAAAATGCATCCCAATAAACCAGCACCAGAAGACAAGATAGAGAAGATCTCCACAACCACCATGTACTTCCCTTTGGTACTCAAGTAGGTGGGTACAAAGGTCAACCAAACACTGCAGAAAACCAACATGCTGAAAGTGATGAACTTAGCTTCATTGAAACTGTCTGGTAACTTCCTGGCTAGGAAGGCCACAGTGAAGCTGAGAAGAGCCAAGAGGCCCATGTAGCCTAAGACACAGTAAAACATGGTGATGGAGCCTTCATGACATTCTACGATGATTTCTTCAAGGAGTGTCTCCATGTCCAAATCTGGAAATGGGGGAGAAGTACTCATCCAGATGGCACAAATACCAACTTGAATGAAGGAGCAGAAGCAGATAATAGAATAGGCCAACCTTTGCCCCACCCATTTGTGGAATAGGCTTCCTGGCTTTGATGCTAGAAATGCTACAATGACTGTGATAGTTTTGGCCAAAATAGAAGAAATAGTAACAGAGAAGATGATGCCTAATGTCATTTGTCGGAGGAGGCAAGTTGTCTTATTGGGCTGTCCAATGAACAGAAGTGAACAAAGGAAACAAAGGAGAAGAGAGATAAGGAGAACATAGCTGAGGCTGCGATTGTTGGCTTTGACAATGGGAGTGTCCCTTTGCTTAATGAAGATTGCAAGGACAAGACCTGTAGTAAGAGAAAAAAACAGAGCCAAGGCAGAAAAAGTAATGCCCAAATATTCTTCAAAAGTCAGAAAGTTCGGTGTTTTAGGAATACATTGTACATGAGCTTCATTTGGAAAATGGTCCTTGGAACAACTCTTGCAATTTTCCATGTCTGGAAATACAAGAAGATAAAATTATTTGAAAAGAATGCTAATCATCCTTTGGACTAGAAGCTACTTTATCAGGAGACCATCACATGTGTTTTGGAATGTATTTGAAATAGTATGGAAAAGTGTTGATCTCATAGTCCATATAATCCCTTGCTCACCCAAGAGCTGTAGTAGCCCCTGCTGGCCAATAGCATATAACTTTGGAGCTTATGCTCCAAAGTGGCTGCTTGCAATGCCCATTTGTCTGCAACCTTTATTTTCCAGTTTGCTTGTCTAAGACTCCAGTCACATTTGGTCCTTTCTTAATGATCCATTTGGTCTCTGGGTTACAACAGAAACTGGGGCTACTGAGATTGGAATGGGACAACTCACTATGCCCAATTCACCACAGCCAACTCAGCACAGGACAATTCATCATGGCCAACTCGACACAGGACATCTCTCCATGGGACAATTCAACAATTCAGTTTAATTATTTAAAATAACAAAAAATATTTTAATTTTTCATTCACATTTCATTTTGTCCCTACTTTTGCATCATTTCTTTAATGATTCTACTCCTCCATTTCTTCAGTATTAGTGTAAGTCTTGTTCTGCGGCAAGATGTCCTGCAGTGAGTTGGCTGTAATGAGTTGGATGCTGTGAGTTGGCTATGACAAATTGTCCTACACCCCCTGAGATTACCATTGATAAGTCGTGCAGTCATGTGACATTGTGCTTTATGACTGCATTACTTAGTCATACGAATCCCAGTCCCAATGATCATTGCAATGGTAGGACTGCCTATACTGACATTCCTTGTTTTCCTGTGCCAATTACATGGTTACAAGGATTCCACCATAATGGTGCTATCTCAAATTCTTCATTCTCTTTTTCATGCTAATCTGGTTCTGGATCATGTGATTTTTTGATGGATATCCATCTCTTGCTTCAACATGCACAGAAACACCCACCCACTCATGGATACTCATATATATAAAAAAAGCTAATGCACAGGTGTATTTAAATAAATAAATAAATAAACAAGGGATTGCTGTGTTGTTACAAGTAAAAATAAATATTAAAATGCACTGTAAAATGTGCAGTTATGATAAAATAATAATATGTTTGCAGTTTTATTTTTATCTTATTTTTTCTTACCCTTCTGACTTGAGATCATTCTTTCTGGACACAGAATGCAATCATAGCAGCAAAATTTTTCCCCTTCCTTCCCTGTCTTTCGGTATCCAGGTGGACAAAGGTCATTGCATAAGGAAAGAGGTGGCACCTATTTAAAAATAGGAAGGGACCATTATTAGGAAGACAGAATTTGCTTTGTGATAAATGAATTTCCAGTATGTAACATTTATAAGCAGGTGGATGGACCAGGTATTTGGGGAGCAATTGAGGCATACAGGTAGTCATAATTTAGTGATTGGAATTGGGATTGGTAACTTGATCAATAAGGAAAGCAGTCACTAAGTGAAAAGTCACATGAATATGGCTGTGCTTATGATTTTATTTCAGTTTTCCTTTGCTTTACAGCAGTGGTTCTCAATCTTTCTAATGCCACGACCCCATAATACAGTTCCCCATGTTGTGGTGACCCCCAACCACTTATACATCACCGGGTGCCAGGGGCGTGGCCAAAGAAAAGGGGGAAAAATGGCGGACAGCCTTGTTTGGTGACCCCTGTAAAATGGTCGTTCGACCCCAAATGGGGTCCCGACCCACAGGTTGAGAACCACTGCTTTACAGCATCAGAAGGATGTGAATCATAACAGCTGGCTGAGCCCAAACAATGGGGAAGGTTTCTGGAACTGGACTCAAGAGAAAGTCAAGTAAAAGAGCAAATTTTATACCTTTCCTCCCATCATTCCCTTGCCCTTGTGAATGTTCATTCTGGCATTGGAATAATTTGCAAGAAGTAAATTAATGTTTGTATTTACAGTCACTGGAGAGAAAGGGATTGCAAGAGAGTAAGCAGACACACAGTAGGTAATACACATCTATATATTGATGGCAAACGTGTGACTGAGAAGCATTTTGAAGGTCATAAATGCAGGGTTTGCTTGCAAAGTTACTTTTCCATCATTGTTGTAACTGCAAATAGTTGCTGTCTGAGGCAATCACCTTAGAGTCTATGAGTATAATACTTATGTCCATAAAAAATTGGTTTTAGCTCAACTCCCTTTAACTTTCACAGACAGAATTCAGAAATGAGATATCACATCTTTGCCTTGACTACCCCAAAGGATGGCCTAGTGATTCATTCATTCATTCATTCATTCATTCATTCATTCATTCATTCATTCATTCAGTTTGCACATTGCCACTACCAAATGACTCTGAGTACTTAGTCACATTTGCTTCCTGCAATATGATACAAATGCTAATGCTAAGTAAGAAAACTGTCCATAATTAGCCTGCCTAATGATTCATCTTTTCCAAGACACTATGGTGTGACTTTAGAGAGGTACTCTTATTTAAAACTGTATCTATCACATGCTGATTTGTGACACATGGGAAGTCTAAGCATGTGGCACAGATTATGCATGAAGTCTATCACTGAAGATCATGCTATTGACACCCACCTGAGTGAATTTTTGGTTCCACTGGATTTGGTCTTTCTTAATCATGAAGGTTTTCCATAGAGGATCCAGATCCCCAACTTGGACTTTTACATAAGATTTATTTGGGAATGTGACCAAGTTCATAATGTCAAATCCAGCTACTAATTCACCCTGTTGATTGAATGTAATTTCATCTCCAGCACTGTTGTTGAATGAAATCCTCTGCAGAAATGAATGTAGCTAATAAGAGACAGAATGAAATGCAGTACAGAAAGAAATGAAAAGAATATTATTAAAGCACTACTATTTCCAATAATTTATCTGGATGGATTAAGATGCCCATTTTCTACCAATAAAAGAGAAAAGTTGAAGAAAAATAGTTGCTAATGGGTAGTATCTAGCTTTTTAGGCACTAGTTATGGAAATGAAAAGTGAAATATTAAATCAGCACAATGTTAGATGATAATGTAAAATAACTTCCAAAATATTGATTGGAGGGTTTAAAAGATAGTATCAGCTTTAGCATCTATGGGAACTAAACCTATTTCTAACAATATGAGAAATATATCATTATGTTGTATTGAGATGTAAAGGAATGCAATCCTTTGATTATTGTTGAATAAGTAAAATATTCAGACTGGAACTCAAATATTTAAAAACAGAGAAATATTTTTCTCTCCAATGAATGTAATGAGAAGAGGTTGACAAAATATTGCTGCTTATATATGCATCAGTTGTGATGCATTTCACATAATTTCTTTACTACAAAACTATCAGATCTCAATTGTTTAAGAAAAGTAATATCATATATAAGGAATAGAGTGAATCTCAAAAAATGAACAGAGAAAAAAACTCTACCCCAACGTAGATAAGCAGAGTTCTTTCTTATTCCTCTAATCCCAAATGCATGTGACCATACTTCTAACCTCCTCTCTTCAGAATGGCAAATGAATGGGAAATTCAAATCATATGTAGAAATTTCTTGGTTTAGGATGGGGCAGGGTTCCTAACCAGGAAGATTATTTTATATGAATTCTGATGATTCCCCCCCCAAATAAGCCCTTTCAAACAATTCTGCCTAGCCTAAGACTCCTGAAGTATAACAAGTAAATTATGGGATAACATGCTTAGTGCTTTCAACACTGTCCTTGGATTATGACCATTTGTTCAATGATCATTCAAAGTTACAAAGGTGCTGAATAAAAGGGACTTATGACCGGTCCTTGGAGTTGTAACCATTTCAGCATCTTTCTGGTGATGTTATTCTGATGTGGCTGCCTAATGCCTATAACGTTACAGTGAGCTATTGTCATGTGCTCACGATTTCTGTCATTCCCTACTGGCTTCCAAACAAGCAGATCAATGGGGAAGCCAGCAGAAATTCAATAGTTATGACCATGTGCGGTCCTCGCTTTGCAACATGCTTCATCCTTGTTTTAGTGATAATAACTGAGACTGCTAGAATTGCTGTTGCTGATAGTATCACATTTTATGGCTGTATCCCTTTGTGACAGTTTTGGTTCCAATTGCCGTAGTAGCCCGAGGATTACCTACAATCTTTGAATAAACTGTGATAATAAAATAAGCAATGTTGTAATGAGATATTCAATATTATACTGTTGTATTGAACCAATGGATACAGATAAGCTGTCATGAAGAGCACATTTTACCTGCCAAGGGTGTACATTCTGGAATGAATCCTTGGTTTCTTCCCTCCTAACTCTGTGCTTCAACCTAGATGTATGAGCGGCATGTAAAGCATGTCCCAATGCATGAACTGCATTGTAAATGCTGTAGCTGTGGCCAGTCATACTCATTTCAAAATAAAATGCAGAGAGATCCTCCAGCCTCTCGTCCCCAGTACATGCCTCACTGATGTTTCTTGCTTGGTTAGAATTAGGCTCATAGCAGTCAAAAGCTTGCTCCCAGAAATGTTTGATGAAGCCATTTCCCTTTGTATTAGTAAGCTTGATCTTCTGAAGAAATTTCTGGAAGCCCAGAATCTGTTTTGAGTGAATTGCAAAGGAAAGAGTCCCATGGAACATCTGGATATCAAGTCCTTTATGCACAACATGCAATGTGAAATCTATCTGGGCAGTGGTTATCCATACTTTTCCTGTAGAGATTTTTTCTTCATGTTCATAATCAGTTGGAAGGAGAGTTGTGGCCACTGCAAAGGAAGCCACCCATATAAAGGCTGTAGTTTCACCATGTATAATGACTGCATTAGCTTTTTTCTCTGTAAATATGTGAATATGATTCAGTATTTGTTCCACTATTTGGAACTGGTTACTCAAATGCATGATTTGGTCAAGTCTCTCAGCAAACTCTAAACAGATTCTATTCTGCAAAAGCTTTTGCTCCAGAGTTCTTGAGAAATGTTCTCCAGCTTCATCATATATAGTGATGAGTCCTGCCCATTTCCACCTGAAATGCAGAAGGAGCTGGACTAAACCCTCATACTGAAGGGCTTCATTTGGGGCCATGCGATAGAAGGAAGAGAAAGGTGAGTCTGCAGTGACTTTAGATTGAAATGACCCATAAGAAATCTAGGGGAAGAAAGGAACAAAACCTGAGAATGAGAAAGGAACACAGCAGGAACCGTTAGATTTATTTTATATACTTTAAAGAGGAATAATTGTAGCTCAGGGTTGAAACGAGGGGTCCTTGGTGCTCTCTGAGTGTGGTTGTTTCCTTGCAGATGTTTCATTACTAAAACTAAGCAATATCATCAATGCTAGTGCTTGCTAGCATGATTGCTTGAGTAGCACTGATGATGTTACCTAGTTTGGATAATGAAATGTCTGCAAGGAAAAAAAAAACAAGCTCAGAGAGCACCAAGAACACTCATTTATATACTTTCTTTACAATGTCTTTAATTCCAGTTTTATTTCTTCTTCCAAAAGTATCCAGAATTTAGTTTATATAATTGAAATGTGTTTGAATAGTTTATATAAATATATAATTGTTGTCATCTGTTTTAGGACTTCTGTTTGGTGGGTTTTACTCTAATGGTAATGTCTAGAATCAGTAAAATCCCATTTAAAACAGATACCATTCCTTGAAACAGCCGGTTGGTGTAGTGGTTAAGACATTAGATTAGAAATCAGGAGATTGTGAATTCTAGTTCTGCTTGAAACATAGAGTCAGCTGGGTGACCTCGGGCCACTCATTCTCTCTCTGCCCTAGGAAGCAGGCAATGGCAACCCATTTTTGAAATCTTGCCAAGAAAACTTGATTCTCAAGGCAGCCACCAGAAGGCAAGACTGACTTGAAGGCACACATACACACAAGAGCAAACAACACAAAATAAAAAACCAAAAACCCTTTATTGCAACTTTTTGTATTCATCTTCATTAAGAAACTGTTTTCATTTTATTTGTCCCACTGACTTTTTTCTTCTAAATCTATGTAAATGTTTGATCTAAGAGCATAAACAGTGTATTTTTTTTCTCCTCATATATATCATGAGTAAATTATCTTTTCTATCTAGTCATAACTCAGATGATTTATTATTGAAAGTAGTATTCAGATTTAATCTTCTATAGATGATGTCCACTGGAACCAAGTTAATTATGACTTTTTACAAAAACAAAAAGTTTATATTACAATTACAGTTTCTGGATATATCCATATCCTTATACTGTAGGTAATGTTTGCATAAGTGTAATAATACTGGAATTCCACATTTTATTCTGGCTTTTGTATTTTTTATTCATGCATCTTATTCTAAATCAGTGGTTCTCAACCTTTCTAATGCTGCGACCCCATAATACAGTTCCCCATGTTGTGGTGACCCCCAACCACTTATACATCACCGGGTGCCAGGGGCGTGGCCAAATAAAAGGGGGAAAATGGCGGACAGCCTTGTTTGGCGACCCCTGTGAAATGGTCGTTCGACCCCAAATGGGGTCCCGACCCACAGGTTGAGAACCACTGTTCTAAATCATTGGGATGATTATAAGAAGCAGAAAACAGAGGGAATAATCTATAATTCATACTTCAACTGATACTTTAGATCCTACCTGAGGAATCTTATAAAGGTGAAAAATGTCTGCCATGCATGAAGACGTATCAGAACTCAGTCCTCCAATGATGCCTATGACTTTTTTTTTAGCATGACATATGTAATTGGGGACAATCGTATGCAATTTGAAGAGCAGATCCAGACAACTTTGATAGGTCATCTTTGATTCAGAGTAGCTGTCATAGATGTGGAATCCAAGAGTAACATTTGGCAAGATCTGTTGACTCTCATTGATCTCATTAATGGCAAACACTAAGGCCAAGACATGTTGGTAGAACTTTGTCACCACGCTGAAAATAAAATGACCTGTCTTCACAAAATAATTCTACCATGTGTTATCTCACTTAATGCAATGGGAAAAGCCCATTCTAACTAACAAAGACAGATTTGAGGCATTTGTATTGGAATAAGGGATTTCCTTTTAAGATTACATTTCCTGGAATGTAATAGTGGTGAATATCTGTAGCTCAGGTGTAGGATGAAAGTCAAGGTTCGTATTATGAGCTTATGGGTTGGTTTCCGAACATTTCATTACCAGGCTTGGTAGCATCTTTAGCGGCTTTTAGAGGATACCACCTCTAAACAAGCTTGGAGAACGAACCTGTACCCTCATTTCCTGGAATCCTTATAGACTTCTACATTTGAATGAAGTGCTAGAATTTTTATTCTCCTTGGTGCTCTTTGAGGTTGGCTATTTTCTTGCAGATGTTTCATTACACATACTAGGTAACATCATCAGTGTTAATCCTGGACAAAGTCTAGCACTGATGATGTTACCTAGTTTGGGTAATGAAACATCTGCAAGAAAACAATCAAGCTCAGAGAGCACTAAGAACCCCTCTTTCAAACCTGAGCTACAAATATTCTCCTTCACGGGTATTTTATTCTCCATTTGGCATATGGAGATGCCACTGGTAAAGAAAAATTTAATTAATTAGAAACAAATGGAGAGCAAGAGAATGAAATTGATCAACTACATAAGTTCTACTTAAGAAATTTGGACAAGCTGGAAAAGAGATGACATCAATTTTTAAAGATGTGATCTTGCCTTGTTAGATGAGGGCATTTTTCCTTATGCACATGCAAAAAAGAGTTGGCCTCTTAAAAAGGGGAGATTCTCTGTTCAGTCTCTGGTAGCTCTAAATTCTGTAAATATGTCTGTCTGTCTGTCTGTCTATCTCATCTATCTCTAGATACAGATATGATAGAACTGAGGGGTCCTTGGTGCTCTCTGAGCTTAGAGAGTACCAAGGACCTCACTTCAACTCTGAGATACAAACATTCACCTTTAGTGGTATGATAGAACTACAAAATAACTAGAACTTTTAATTAAGAAAACCCATTAGATTAAAACCCAAACTAATATTTGTTAGGGCAGGAAACAAATACTTACAGTGAAATTTGAAATGACTCCTGAGAAGGGTTCTGGGTGAAAAACAATTCAGGGAACAGATAATGAACATGTGACACTATTCCACCAATGAGGAGATCACCTGCCTGGTACCATTCATGCTGAATATGAAGGCCATTATTTCTAGTGCATTTAATTGTTTGTGCTTTGATTGTTCTGTGGGACAGCAGCATGACCACAGTCTTCATCAACCATTGGGCAAAAATTCTACCAAATCTCATCTTTTTCAAACTATAGGGAAGCACCATTTCTGGTGTTCTCTTTATCCTAAAGAGCTTTAGCAAAGCATTTGGCCAAAATGTTTCTTAAAGACTCACTACATAAAGGAACTGAAAAGATCGAAGTCCCTGACAACTATTCTGCCCAAAGTTAGCTGTTCTTTATCTCCATTGAAGACTTTATTGCTGAATGTTTTGTTCAGTATCACCTTAAAAGCCACTAGAGTTTTGATTTGGCAAAATAATTACAGTATTTATGACAACTAAAGGGAAATTAAGATGTGATGCCTTCACTAGCAGAACCATTTAAGTAAACATGCTGATTGATAAAACATTGAAAGAAACTTATTTTGCTTGCAGAATTATTGCAACCTTGCTGAAATTCCGGAATGAATCATAGTGAAATCTTGGGTGGGTAGAACAACAGAGAAAGAAATATTTGGAATTAAATTGATCTTTGTTTTTATGAGGCTGTGGCTTATGCTGATGGAATTAGCTCTTGTTTAGCAACTACCTCACTTAGTGACTCTTCACAGTTATAACAGGGATGAAAAAGTAATCTCATGACCAATTCTCACTTTATGACCTTTTCAGGTCTATAAAGGAAGGAAAAGTGAAGTAAATTCATAAGCACAGTTGAGGTTTCTCTAAACAACTGAGTAGTTAGTTCCTATAGTGAATGCTCAATAGATTATATAGGTATAGATATTATGTGGATAACATAGATTATTCCTCTTTTACACTACTACTTGATCATTTTGGTACTATATTTATACTGACTGCTTTGGTGACCCTTTACAGATTTTCAGAGGTAGTATTAGGGAGAACTTCTTTTTTTTTCTTTTTTGGATTGGTACATGAGATGTGATTGTCTCCTGATCCAATTTTCCATTCTTAGAGAAAGTTCCCATATTCATCAAATGTTCTAGAAGGTATTATGAATTAGAAAATTTGCCAGATGACTGGGTCTCACTTAATACCACAATGGTTTATTGGAAGTACAGCTCAATGAAGCTACAGTTACATTTAGACTATCCACTGTGATAGTCACTGACTTCAAAATCAAAGATATGACCAGAGTCCTGCTGCTTTTTACATGCATATAATGCATGCAACACACATAACAAAAAAAATACGCATTTCATTACCTGGTGACACCACTATTTGGAAGCTAATGATGGATGCTCTCACTATATAAAATATATTTGGGGACAAAACCTATAACCAAGAATACTTCAATATAATCTGGTTTGGATGAATCCACTTCTTAGCTCCATAGATTACTATGCACTGTCTCCTTCATCCCAGGTGAATAAAAGATACTTCCAATATATCATAGACATTTTGGATTTCCAGTCAGCCACCAGGTTACTCATATTGGTCTACAGAAAGTCAATTGTTTCATGAAAACCTTAAAATAACTTACAAGGAGAAGATGGTTTCTTGAAAAGTCCCTTGGAAGAAATGTATTTGGCAGAATAGAAACTGAGGACCCTCAGGCTCTAATTCTAAACAGAACACCAAGAATAGAGTTCTGAAAGCATTGTGCGCTCAGTTTGAAATATCTCCATGCTCATAAAAAAAGATATTTTGGTTGGTGCTCCTCAAAGATCATATCTCCTGCTAAATTAAATAATTAAATTAAATTAAACTAATTAAATTCCATTGAAGACATTTTTGGTGTGTTTATTTTTCCTCTGTTTCATCATCTAGAAATTAAGTTCATGATTTCAAAGCAATACAGGTGGCAGAATAATTGTTATTATAAGAAAGTTGAATGATTTATAATTATTGGTGTATATAGCATAATGCATTATATGATAGTTGTCATGGAGATGATCCAAATGTGCTCTCTTGAAGAGTTGGCATATTCATTTTATCACCCGAATGCATCATTTAAAAAATCTTTGGAACTGTCCACTTTCCCATCAGTTATTAAAGCATAAAGTTGCATAATAATGGTTGCTGGAATTGGGTATGTCTAGTTTAACGAAGAGAAGGACGAGAGGGGACATGATAGCAGTGTTCCAATATCTCAGGGGCTGCCACAAACAAGAGGGAGTCAAGCTATTCTCCAAGGCTCCTGAAGGCAGGGCGAGAAGCAACGGATGGAAACTAATCAAGGAGAGAAGCAACTAGAACTAAGGAGAAACTTCCTGACAGTTAGAACAATTAACAATTAACCAATGGAACAACCTGCCTCCAGAAGCGGGAATGCTCCAAGTTTTTAAGAAGAGACTGGACAGCCATTTGTTTGAAATGGTGTAGGGTTCCTGCCTGAGCAGGGCGTTGGACTCGATGACCTCCAAGGTCCCTTCCAACTTTATTATTATTATTATTATTATTATTATTATTATTATTATTATTATTATTATTATTATTATTATTATTATTATTATCATCATCATCATCATCATCAAATTAACATGTTGTGAAGGAAGTGTATCCAAATGTAGCTCCTGGCTATTTAATTTTCCCTTTCCAAAAACCATAGAATGTCATTCCTTTGTTGTAATCAAATTTCTTAAAATGATCCATTTGGTGATCTTGTTAATTTATTACTGCCCAACTTTTTATTTGCATAATTGTAGATTTTTTTTTGTCTTTTCTATGTTTCCTTTTTTATATGCATCTTGGAATTATATTAATATTGTAAAAAGACAATTATATAAGTACAAAAGTACAAAAAAGAAGAAAAGAAGAAAAGAAAAGAGAATGTTTTGCTCATTTCTGATGACCTAGCTATATCATGGTGACAGCAGCCTGTCTTCTAGCAGGTATGAATATGTCATCAAGGAAAAGTCTTCTTCTAGACTACTTCTCAAAATCACCCATTGTTTCTGATGGCATGTCCCCATAATGCAGAAATATGCACAAAAATATATTTTATTTATCTATATATCCAAGCAAGAGATAATTAAGAAACAATTTTCTAGCATACTCTAAGTCATAATTAATTTACAATACTCACATTGACTTATTACTTATACAAGAGAAGAGAAATACCAGAGGTTAATGAGTCACATAATCACATATAACTAACTTGTCTTCCTGGATGTTAAGGGTGTGGAACTGCACCATGGACATCTAGGTTATAGTCTACAGTACCTTGGCTAAGCCCACAAATTTCTCTAAAATTTATATCTTTCTTTGAATAAGCTGTTCTCGATTATTCAATTCAGGTCTTACCACAATAATATAGCATTTAGGGAAAAAGATGCAACTGAATAACCCAGCGCTGGAGGCCAATATGGAGAAGATCTCCACAACCACCATGTATTTTCCTTTGGTGCACAAATAGGTTGGGATGAATGACAACCAAACACTGCAAAACACCAGCATGCTAAATGTGATGAACTTGGCTTCATTAAAACTGTCTGGCAACTTCCTGGCTAGAAAGGCCACAGTGAAACAGATAATAGCCAGAAAACCCATGTAGCTCAAAATGCAATAAAACATGGTAACTGAGCCTTCATTACATAAAATGATAACTTCCTCAGTCATTGAGTGCATATCCACATCAAGGAATGGGGGGTAAAATGCCAGCCACAGAACACAGATTCCTGCTTGAAATATGGAGCAGGTGAACACAATGGAATAGGCCAGTCTTTTCCCCACCCATTTCCTCATCCTGGATCCTGGTTTGGTAGCCATGAAAGCCAAGACTACAGAAATCGTTTTGGCCAGAATGCTAGAAAGGGAGACAGAAAAAATGAAACCAAAAGTAGTCTGGCGAAGAAAGCAAGTTGCTTGGTTAGGCCTTCCAATAAACAGCAAGGGACAGAGGAAACACAAAAGGAGGGAGATGAGAAGAAGATAAGTGAGATTTTGATTGTTGGCTTTCACAATGGCTGTATCATGGTGCTTCAAGAAGATGCCTAGCACCAGAACTGTGATCAGAGAAAATAAAAGTGCTGAGAAAATTGCAATGATAGCCAAAGAATCTTCAAAACCAAGAAAGTTTGGAATTTTAGGAAGGCATTGATTCTGGAATTTGTTTGGATAGTGATCCTCTGGGCAACTGAAACATTTTGCTGTATCTGAAATCAACAAACATACAATTACTCAGAAAGAATCACAATTTAAATCCTATGATGTAACATGTTCACAGAGACCCAGATGTATATTCATGCAATTAATATGATGCAGGAAAGTATTCTTATATTAAATTTCTCTGAATGTTGCCCTATTATTTGTAGGTAAAGCTTTTATTTATTTACTGATTGGAGTATGTGTGTAAGATTGCAATTTGTCTTTTATCCCTTTTCTTTTCAACAGGTTGCAGGTCATTCTTTTTATCTCATGGTTTAGGAACAAATCCTTTAAATTAGCCAGGATGGTTTTTCAGATATTTTTCTAATAGCTTTTGGCAATTACTACTTTTTAAATGTTCACATAACATGCCTTGAAATGGACAAATAGTTCCTTTACTATTTTCAATTAGTCATACAATCAATCACATTCTTCCAGAACACATCTACAACCTTACAGAATGAATCTTCAGTTCTGTCTCTGTTAGCTATAAAATTGTATTAATTACTCCCTTTCCTTATTTATTCATTCTTGATCCTAACTGTTAAATTCAGTGCCTGGATTTTACTCAATTGGCTTCCAGAGTTGAAGATTAGCTGTTATTAAAAGTTATTATGAAGTATTATTTGTGATATTCATTCATCCTGAAAAGAATGATTCTAACAGTCAAGTGCCTGTGGAGATCAACAAATGTGTTCTCTAAATAAATAAATATTTATATAGGGAAAGTTACTTTCTACATCATTTAACTTTTTAAAAGTACTTAATGTTCATACTGGAGTTGGAGAATGTCTTCTTGCATTTTCCCCCTAAAACACCACTTATAACTTTGCACAATGTGTCTTACCCTCCTGGTTTGAGAACATTCCATCTGGACATGGAGCACAATCATAGCAGCAAAATTTCTCTCCCTCCTTCTTTTTCTTACTGTAGCCAGGATGGCACTTTTCATTACACAGGGAAAGAGGTGGTACCTATCCAAAAATATAGAAATTGCTCTTGTATTAAGGAAATCTTTGAAGGATCCATCTCACGTTTGATATTTCACTAGATGTATTTGCAGGAACTATCTATTATGTGTTTCCAGAACAGAAAATTGTATCCAATGAAGATTTTTATACTTGGAGTGATGGATGTTTTAGAATAGCACAAAATAAAATAACCCAGTGATTTAATAGTTTTTCCAGATTTCTAAAGCACACTTGGTTAACTAATTGTTTTTCCAATTATTGTTACACAGTGAGTTTACACAATATAATAAATTCAGAGACAAATTCCTTGAGTCTCCAACAACACTTGGTTAATAAAGCTATTCCATTCCATTCTATTCTATTCTATTCTATTCTATTCTATTCTATTCTATTCTATTCTATTCTATTCTATTCTATTCTATTCTATTCTATTCTATTCTATAAATTAAAACAAAATAAAATTGGGCTTGAGCTTGTCTAGAACATGGTGTCAGCTGTCCTCTGCCAGCTGCTGATAAACTCCAAACACAGAAAGAACAGGTGACCAGCAAACTTTAATGCAAAAGAAAAGAGCATGTTATAAGAGCATGTTTCATGAAATAGGCTATTGCGTTAAGTCATTATACATGCTGTACAAATGCAGGAATTATGTTTGTTAACCTGGGCTTGGAATTTATGGTCTTCTGTGTACTCAGCCAATGTATGTTTCCAGTTCAACTGGTTCTATAGTTTCTTTACAGGAAGAGCTTTCTGTGGGGTAAAAAAAGGTTTTCTCTGGGCCAGGAATCATTGTCCAGATCTATTAGCATCATTACAATGAATATTGTTCTTTCAAAAGCAGTACAGATAATTTCCCACCTGAGTGAAATCTCTCTCCCATTCAATTTTGTCCTCATCAATAGTAAACCCTTTGTGAGGATCCAGCCTTCCAACGTGGACCTTGATATAGGAATTATTAGAAAAAGTGACCAAGTTTGTAATATCAAATCCACCTGCCAATTCTCCATGTTCATTAAACATGATTTCATCTCCAGCACTATTGTTGAATGAAATCCTCCTAAGGAATGAATCAAGCTGCAGAAGAAGGAAAAAAAATGTAATGGGCTATAAAGGATTGCAATGTCTTTTCTCTTTTTTCCACCAAATACCTCCTGTTTGATAGGCAAATCGCACAATAAGTCAATGATCAATAATAATAATAATAATAATAATAATAATAATAATAATAATAATAACAATAATGTTGGAAGGGACCTTGGAGGTCATCTAGTCCAACCCTCTGCTCAGGCAGGAAACCCTATATCATTTTGGACAAATGGCTGTCCAGTCTCTTCTTGAAAACTTCCAGTATTGGAGCATTCACCGCTTCTGGTGGCAGGTTGTCCACTGGTTAATTGTTCTAACTGTCAGGAAGTTTCTCCTTAGTTCTAGGTTGCTTCTCTCCTTGCTTAGTTTCCACCCATTGCTTCTTGTCCTGCCTTCAGGCGCCTTGGAAAATAGCTTGACTCCCTCTTCTTTGGGGCAGTCTTGAGATATTGGAACACTGCTATTATGTCCCCCCTAGTCCTTCTCTTCATTAAACTAGATATACCCAATTCCAGCAACCGTTCCTTATATGTTTTAGCCTCCAGTCCCCTAATCATAATTCTATTCTTTTTTTTTTAATCACAAAACTGCTCCTCACTTATTTTGACCATGTCCTGAGGGGGAATTCACTGGAAAAAGCAATTATGTTTGGAAGAGTTAGTGGTAAAAGGAAACAGGGTGACAAAGAACATGATGGCTGGACTCCATTAAAGCTGACAATAGCCAGAGCAACAACATAGTGCAAGATCAGAAAATGTGGGGAGACCTGGCCCATAGAATCTCCAAGAGTCAGACATGACTGAATGGATAACATTATCAATATCATCATCTTTTCTTTAAAAGTTTAAGTAACAAATTCAGGAAGAGCTTTAGGACTTAGTCTAATTAGCAAAATTCAGATGAGAAGATATGTGCATGAGATATTTCCTTCATTTAAATAACATCCACACCCTCCCCTTATTTAAATATATATACACACTTTCCATTTATATGTGATCATAAATATCTACAAATATGAATCTCAAAGAAAGGAGATGATTTTTTTTCTAAATGTTGCACTGAGAAACAGATTTATTCACACATGGACTAGCATGATGTAAACATTATAGAAATATCCCAGTTCCAGGCATCCCAGAAAGAGACTGAAATTTGTCAAATGGACAAATTATCTGGGGAAAATAAGGTAGACTCCCCTAGAAATGAAGAAGAACTTTGGGAGATCAGAAACATATCACTGACACATACCTATGAGTTATTGGTATGACTTAAGCCATGGAATGGAAATTGTCCATTTTTTCATGGACTAAACTGCCAGCTGATATCAACAGACTTCCTCTTACTTGTTGTTTAATAAAGGTACTTTGAGCAGCAGGTACACAAGCTTAATACACATGTGTCTCTCTCTATATCTTTGATTAGCTTCCATTGGGTCTTTGTTAGGCTCTGTCTTTACAAGCTTTTCATGGAATAATGTATAATTCACTTAAAAACATGTTAGCAAAAATCTGTAAAACATACTTTCTGAAATTCTTTTTATCCCTTTAATAATAGCTTGACTTTTGGTCATGTGAGCTAAAAGAAGGATTTTGTGCAGCATAAAACAGAACTGTTGACAACATTCTGAGCCAATAGTTTTATTCCTGATTTTTATTGGGGGAGGGCTAGATTGGGCCAATTTTCAAAAATCTTTTTTATTTTGCTGTTTTATCCCCTCCACGTGAAATTTCATTAAGTTCAGTTGTGTTTTCAGAGAGTGATCCTGCTGCTGGGCAAGTTAGATAGAATCTTTATTCTCCACTGCATCATTTTCTTCCCAGCATACTGGATTGAAAAAAAAAAATGAAAAGAATTCCCCATCTTCCTCTATGAAGGTGTGGGTGGATAGTGACTTATGGAATTATAGTTCACAACAGAATTATTAACCATTTCTTTGCCCTAATTAAAATCTTCCCAATAAAAACTCAGTTCTTTAGATTATGCAGTAAAACCATTTGATGCATTAAAAGAATAGATATACATGTATTCTTAATATAAAGTGCTTTTTGGTTTCTAAAAATAATCAATGACATCCTAAACAGTGCTTGATTTGTTTAACCTCGGGTGAGAGTCACCATGTCATATTGGAATTCAATATAATACAAACATAAACAAAGAATATAATCATACCAGAGTCTTAGATTTTAAAAGAGCTGACTTTAACAAACTCAGAGAGAGCTTGGGAAAGATGAAAATCCTAAAGGGAAAAAGAAGTCAAGAAGCTTAGGAAACTCTGAAAAATATGATCATAAAAGCCCAGTCCAGCACAATACCACTGAAAAAGAAAAACAAGAAATCCAAGAAGAAACTAGCATGGTTGCACAAAAATCTCTCTGATAAATTGAAAGATAAAAAGAACAGTTACAAAAAATGGAAAGAGGGACACATAACTAAGACGGACTATCAGCAGATAGCCCATATTTGCAAAGATGAAGTCAGGAAAGCAAAGGCTCAGAATGAAAAAAATACTTGCAACAAAAGTCAAAGATAATAAAAAATTCTCTCAACATATAAATAACAGGAAAAAAAATCAAGGAAATAGTAGGTCACTTAAGAGAGAGAATGGCAAGGAAGTAGCAGGCAATAGAGAGAAAGCAAAGCTGCTTAACTCATTCTTTACACCAGTCTTCACACCAAAAGAAACTATAGCCCAACCTACCAAAAACCTAACTGAAAAAGAAAGACTAGAAATAAAAATTAAAATAAGCAAGGAAATGGTTCAAGAACACCTATCTGATCTTGATGAATATAAATAACCAGGACCTGATGGATTGCATCCTAAAGTTCTGAAGGAAGTGGCAGATGTCATCTCAGAACCATCGTACCATATCTTTCAAAAATCCTGGAGCATCGGGAAACTACCAGAGGTCTGGAAAAGAACTGATGTGGTTCCCATCTTCAAAAAAAGGAAAAAGAAAAACAAACCTGGGAAACTATAGACCAATCAGCCTAACATCAATAATCAAAAAGCAGATTTGCAATCTAGAAATAAATAAAGTTATAACTAGAAATCAGTATGGGTTTGTTAAAAACAGATCATGCCAAACCAATCTTATTTCATTCTTTGACAAAGTGACTAAATTAGTAGACCAGTGAAATGCTGTGGACATAGTATACTTAGATTTCAACAAGGCATTTGACAAAGTAGACCACAACTTACTTCTTGGTAATCTAGAAAAAGGTGGAATAGACAGCATCCCCTCCTGACGGGTTTGTAACTGGCTGACAAACCATATGCAATGAGTCATCCTTAATGGTACTACATCTACATGGAGGGAAGTAAGCAGTGGGATAGAAGACAAGCTCAGGATCCAAAAAGATCTTGACAGACTTGAATAATGGGCCCTATCCAACAAAATGAAATTCAACGTAGAGAAAAGTAAAGTCTTAGGCAAGAAAAACCAAAAGTACACATACAGATTAGGTGAAACCTGGCTTAATAGCAGTACTTGTGAAAGGGATCTTGGAGTCCTAGTAGACAATCAATTAAATATGAGTCAGTAGTGTGCGGCAACAGCCAAAAAAGCCAATGCAATCCTAAATTGCATCAAGAGAGGAATTGAATCAAGATCATGTAAGATACTAATACCATTCTATAAAGCCTTAGTAAGACCACACCTAGATTACTGCATCCAGTTTTGGTCACCACACTCTAAAAAGATGTTGAGACTCTAGAAAGAGCATAGAGAAGAGGAACAAAGATGATTAGGGGTGATTATGAAGAACAGTTGCAAGAATTGGGCATGGTTAGCCTAGTGAAGAGAAGGATCAGGGGTGACATGATACCAGTGTCCAAGATTTGAGGGTCTGTCATAGAGAGGAGGGGATCAACCTATTTTTAAAAGTGCTGAAAGCCAGACAAGGAACAATGGATCAAGGAGAGATTCAACCTAGAAATAAGGAGAAATTTTCTGACAGTGGGAATAATCAACCAATGGAAGAGCTTGCCCTCAGAAATTGTATAGTCTCCTGCTTGAGTAGGGGATTGGACTAGATGATCTAGAAGATCCCTTCCAATTCTGTTATTCTGTTATTTACAAGTCAATGCAGTCTTCTGGAAACACTATGGAGGTCTTTTGTGTTTTAGAATCTACCATATATTTTTTGGATTAAAGCACCAGGTGGATATGACCCTACCTAGCATCCAAGAACAGAAAAGGTCAGCTGGATCTTGTCAATATTTTTAAATACTGCCTTTGGTCATTCAAATAATGTTACCTGCCAAGGTTTTATATTGTGAGGTGACAATCTGCCTCCATGCTCTGCTGGTCGGTCCTTGATTTTGGTTGAGTCCATTGCATGTAAGGTATGAGCCAATGCATAGACAGCATTATAGATACTATAACTATGACCTAGCATGCTCATTTCAAAGAATGGTGCAGCAAGATCTTTTAAAGTTTCCTTTCCAGTACATGGTTTAAAGACGAGATTTAAGAGATTCATTTTGAAAAGGAAACAGTTGAATGCTTGTTGCCAAAATTCATGGATAAAACCATCTTTTTCTTCCCAAAAAGGATTTACAGTCTCAAGAAATTGTTGAAAACCTTTAATTTGCTTTGAGTGAATATTGAAAGAAAGAGCTCCATGGAAGATTTGGGGTTTAGCATCAAGAAACCTTTGAAAGTGAAATAAGGTGAAATCAATTTGGGCTGTAGTAACCCATACCCTTTTCGGACTGTATTTCCCTTTTTCCCATGGAAATATGTAATGCATGGTCTGACTTGTTTGTATAGCAATTATCAACCAAGTAATGGATGCAGCTTCTCCATGAACAATGACAACTTTAGCTGTACTGAATATAAAATTCTTTAAAATGTCAATTCTGTCAAAGACCATTGTATCTATTTTATCAAAAAAATAGATATGTTTTGTCAACCTTTCTGAGAAAGCTGGACAGATTCCTTTTTGTAAAAGTATTTGTTCAATAGTTCGTAAGAAATAAGTTCCACTCTCATCATCTGTAGCCATGAGTCCAATCCACCACCACTGGAAATACAGAAGCAATTGCACAAGTCCTTGATACTGAAGTAATTCACTGGGAACCATGCGGAGAAACGTAGCAGAATGGATCTGATCATTGGATACTGGTTCAAATGAGCCATATGAAATCTTCTCAAAAGAAAAAAAAAGTGAAAACTTCAGAGTTCAAGCAGGGATTCTATTTTGTTATTTATCACAAATTATTGCTTCATTGATTGATTTAAGCACATCTTTTCTTATTCAGAAATGCCAGTACAAATTATTGCTGCTTATCCAGTAGTTTGCTCTTGTTTTCTTCCTAGAGTGATTGGCCCAAAATCATCCAGCTGGCTTCATTTCAAAACAGGATTAGAAATCCTATCACTAGGTTTCCAGCCTGGTGCTTTAACTGCTATAACAAACTGGCTCCTAATATTCCAATTAGTCATGCCTAATTTAAATCATAGTATGACACCATCGGAAACTAGTGCATACATTTATGAATATGATAATGTAAATACTGAAATCAATTCAGCTCTTTTTGTTTACACCTTATCACATCACTCTAAACTAAAGGACTATTATACTGCTATACTGTTAATGAAGGGGAACAATTAATAAAAATGGAGATATTCTCATTTATTACCTGTGGAATCTTATAAAGATACAAGATATCTGCCATGCGGGAGGTTGTATCAGAACCAAATCCCCCAATAACTCCTATTACATTTTTTTGTCCACCACATTTGTAGTTTGGAATGAACTTTTGGAATGAAGTGAAGAGCAGGTCCAAAATGGTGCGGTAAATCATCTTTGAATCACCGTAGCTGTCAAAGATATGGAACCCAAGAGTAACGTTGGGTAAAATCTTGGGATTGTTATTGATCTCATCAATAGCAAAGACCAAGGCTAGGATATGCTGGTAGAATTTGGTCACCATTCTAGAAATGGAGGACGTTTTGGTTAGATGATAGTTTTAAACAGCACACAAAATCAATATGTTTAGGACATACTGATGTAGCTTTGAATGGGGAATTGTATGTGTGTTAGTATACAAAAGGAACACTATTTAAGTAAAGAATCAAATTAGCATCCTTTTTGAAAATATACTGTGGTACTCATGGATGGATTGTAGCTTCAGGCTTTCAAGCCATATCATGAAACATGTTTGGATAACTTTTTAACCAAAGTAATCTTTGATATCTGAGAGCTGTTCTCAGCAGCAGTTGTCAAACCAGAATTTTAATTCCACTTTCTTCCTTTCGATAGCTTGGTTCTTCATGATTGTTTTGATTATACTGAGGATCAGTCATCCAAGCTGGGTTGTCCAAATAATTTTATTCATAACTGGCAAAATGTCTAAAGCCATTACTAAGAAATAATCTCAACAGGATCAAATCTATACATGTGCATAGAAACTATAACAGTATTGCTTATATATGAATATAAGGACTAATAAAAGAATCAGTATAGGAAAAAATAGAGCAATCAAAAGTTTGATTACTGATGACAACATTGAACTCTGCACTTCTGATCTTTAGCAAAAGGTGTAATATGAAGAAATTTAAACCCAGTATATGATCATTAGGCATCTTATTTTATGATGGTTTTCCAATATACTCTATACCTCATTTTATCCTACTTTCAGATCATGTATTCCTTACAAAGTTCAAAATAATATGTGTGTTATAACTCTTTATAAATGTAACTCTGGCATAATAAAGTCTGTCCTTCCATTTTTCCCTTCTATAAAGGGAAGACTAAAAAACTATGCATTAGAGCTGGAAGTCTGGAAGGAGACATAATGATCTATGCAGATTTCGTGTTATTGTGTCCTTTTTGAATAATATTCTTCTATGTCCTAAAGTAGACCACAGCTGAATTTCCAAGTATTCGGTTGATAATATGACAAGATTCTCCTCACAGTGAAGCTTGAACATTTCACTTTATTCCAACAAATGGCTATTATTTATATTGATCCATCCATCCATCCATCCATCCATCCATCCATCCATCCATCCATCCATCCATCCATCGATCCATCCATCCTTTCAGAATTAAATACTTTGTAAACAATCAAATAAACATGAAAAGCCCACAGTAAAATAATATGTATTTTTATAAACTAGTGTCTACCGTGGGGGTTATGAAAACCTCTTACATCGGGATGTTAAGTGGCTCCTGAGAAGGGTGTTTATTAAAGAAAATGTTGAAGAAGACGTAACGGATATGAGACACCATCCCACCAACGAGGAAATCACCTGGTTCATACCATTCATGGGGGATGTAGAGAGGATCTTGTCTAGTACATGAAAAGCCATGCAACATGTTCACTCCACTGGGGAGAAATAATAGAAAAAACAGAACCAGCATCATTCTCATTCTGAAGACCATGTTTCCTCTGCACATTAACCCTTCCATTTCTCTCTACTACATTATTGCGACTGTTGACCAGATTTCAATTTGAGTGATCAGATGACTGACGGCTTTATTTCCCAGAGGATCTTGTATTGTTTCTATCAGAACATCTTGCTTTCAGAAGTTGTGGTTGCTCCATCACTGAAGGCTTTTAAGAAGAGACTGGACAGCCAGCTGTCTGAAATGGTACAAGGTCTCCTGCTTGAGCAGGGAGTTGGACAAGAAGACCTCCAACATCCTAACTCTGATATTGTATGTTCTATGTTCTTTCTCTCCCTCAAATTACAAAAGTTGGCTTTGAGGGTTAACTGAGAATCAATATTTGAATCTGATTTGTGTATTATGAAAGAGAAGCTGGCCATAATAACAGAGCCTTCCTATTTTCTTGTATATTGACAAAATACTAGGCTGTATATAAAACATTCAGATTTAATTGATTCCTCTTCTGGAAAGCCTCTGGAGGTTTTAGCACAGAATATTATAGTGATTTCCATAGTTGTATAGGAGGTAATAGAACTGTTAAGGCATCAGTTGCATACATTCTATTGGGACTTGAACACTGTTAAATACACTGATGACTCCAAAATGGGAATAGAAGTTAAAAAAATTCAATTAAATAATAATGGAAATCACCAGCTTCAAATTTCCCCCTACCATTGCAAAGCAACAAAGCCGTTTCTATGGTGCTAACTAGAAAATGGATAGAATAAATCAGTGGGGATAAATTTGATTCAAAGATAGCTTGACCCTATATATATATATGGTAAAAAATGCGACTCCCGGGCATAATTATGAATAAAAGAATAAAACACGATCATGACTCCTGGGCATAATTATGAATAAAAGAATAAAACACGATCACCGGGAGGGTTGAAGTAAGAATACTTTACTAAAAATATACTTATACTAAAAAGTTGCCAAGCTTTCGCTGGGGGAACTCCCCAGCATCGTCAGGGCTAAAAGGCCATTACAATAAAGGTGGTTTAAGTAGGTTCAAGTAACGTTTGCGCACGGCTCCTAGACCGTGTTACTGGCCCTGATTGGCCAGCTGATAACCAAGATGTGTCTATAACGTTATATTCTTTTCTTTGGATGCCCTTCCCTATCCCTCCACTATTGGTTTTTGGAGGCATTAGTAACCTTACACCCCCTCCTCTTCCGATAATACCAACGCCTGCCGTATCGGGGGGAGGATTCGATCTGATGTTTTCTTGTGTCTTATGATGGGGATAGGGTTCCACTAACTGTGGGTTAATATCCCTTTTCAATTGTATACAATCTGCTTAATTCATGCTGCCCAACGTCTGCCTGCCTGCCTGCCTGCTTGCAGGCCTCCATGTTCCTTCCCCGAAGCATGCAATTGCTCAGAGCCCGTCCCAAAAGGCGTTCCCTAGCAGGAGCCGAGTTTGCAAGCTTCATTGGCAAGCCGAGAAAACCGAAGGTCCAGAGGATTCCCTCCTGCTTTCGGGGTTTTTCTCACCTGCCTGCCTGGGTGGAAAACCTACGCCTTCCCTTCTCCTGTGGCTGGGGAAAGAGAGCTGGCCCCAGATACCCCCCACCTCCTCCCCCGTTATCCCAGGGCCAGGCACTGCAGCTCCACAGCAGGAGGGAATCCTCCGGACCTTCGGTTTTCTCAGCTTGCCAACGAGGCTTGCAAATTCGGCTCCTGCCAGGGAAGCAGCACTTTTGGGGACAGGCTCTGAGCAATTGCACGCTTCGGGGAAGGAACATGGAGGCCTGCAAGCAGGCAGGCAGGCAGATGCTGGGCAGCACAAACTAAGCGGCGAGCAAAACCCCGAAACCTTTTGCGTTCATTTGCAAAGAAGTGAACACCGGTCCAGCTGGTCGTTGGGGTATGGAACTGGGCTGTGGACACCAGGCCTTTCTCACCGGCAAGGCTGGAGCCTCCCACACTAACCAGTAGGTCTCCCGTTCCACTTCGCTGGGACCGCCAGCTTCTGGCTGCGTGGCTGCCTCCATCCGGAGCTGTCTTTCCCCCCCTGGGCCATGCGCCACCGGCGTCTTCTCTTTGTAAAGGAACGCAAAAGGTTTCAGGGTTTCTCTCGCCTGCCCGCCCGGGTGGAGACCAGAGTTGGCGGCTCTAATGTCCTACTATCGTTGACTGCAATCCTATCCACCTGTTTTGTGCAACTGATTGCAAGCCAAGAGCTGCCTGGTTCTGAATTAATAGCTGGGGGGGGGGCAAAGCCCACTGAACTGCGTGATCCCAATGACCAATCTGACTTTGCAGGAGCTTCCATTGGATTGGAACTTTCTATCCGATTGAGCTTAGTTTAGGCAGGGCCGTTCTTAGCGTGGGGTTCACATGTTAGTTAGTGGGGCTGACTAGTTCTCTGGCAAGAATGCCGTGCTCCAGCCTTCCTCCAAAGCACCATCCTCAGAGGGGTAGTCCAAAGCACCACTTTCAGCCGCCTCCTTTGCCGCGGCCCCAATTCTGCTCTGGGGAAACTAGGGTGGGGCAGAGCAGGGCAGCACTGCCTATCTCAGTCACGTGGAGGGCTGTATAAACACCACCGGATGGCTGCATAGTTATCGCTGGGGGAGATGAGCAGGCCGTTGCTCCCATGGTCGCCTTCCCACCACTATGGAAGATAGCCTGGTCCACGCCTTTGGGGGCCTCAGCCTCCAGCAACCCTGCCGTGCCAAAGGCAAGCCCCCCGCTCACCGCTTCAGCAAAGGGGAGAGAGCAGTCTTTTCCAAGGGGAGGAGAAGCCAGGACGGCAGAGCTGTCCATACCAGAGCTGGATGCGGGCAGGGCCGGTGCATGTGTCGCCTTAGGCTCCACTCTTCAATCAAGCTCCGTTATGTGAATGCGCAAGCGTGCGCGCATGCGTACATTTTGCGGCTCCCAGGTTTTTTTGTGTGAGGGAAATGGGTCCAAGTGGCTCTTTCAATTTTTTATGTTGCTGACCCCTGAACTAGACATACCCAATTCCAGCAACCGTTCCTTATTATTATTAGTTTCCATCTATTGTTTCTTATATTGCTTTCTGGTGCTTTGGAAAATAGGTTGATGCCCTCTTCTTCGTGGCAAACCCTTAAATATTGGAACATTGCTATCATGTTACACCAAAGTCACTTTTTTTCTTGGTTACTTTCATCCATTGTTTCTTTTCTTGCCTTTTGCTGCTTTGGAAAATGTTTTGGCTTCCTCGTCTTTGTAGGACCTCCTCAAATATTCAGTTTGGAGATTTGATTAGAAAGCTATTAATCTAACCAGGTACATCAAAAGATTTGCAATCAGTGATCTACAACATATTGACTTACTTTGAGGCTTCAGTTCAACTACTCTTAACATTTTGAATGGAGAAATTATTTTAGGCTGGAGCAATGCAATGTATTATGTTTCATCAAGAGTGATTTGCATATAAATAGTCCTCAACTTATGACCACAATTGAGCCCAAAATTTCTGCTCCTAAGTGAGACAGATGTTAAATGAGTTTTGCCCTATTTTACAACTTTTCTTGCTACAGTTGTTAAGTGAATCACTGTAATTGTTA